TCCGGCCGCCCGGCGCCGGGCACGCGGCCGAGCCTGGCACGGCCTCGCCCGTGCCCGGCGATGCCCCGGTGAGTGCCGGGGCCGCCGTGGCACCGCGGGGCCGGAGCGCCGGGCTCGGGGACATCCGGCCCGGCGGCGCCGCTCTGGGGTGGGCGCTGGTGACACTTGGTGACACCAAGGGTTGGGTGGCACTAACGGGGGTGAGGTGGCACTAATTGGGTTCAGGTGGCACTAACGGTGATCTGGTGGCATTAATTGGGTTCAGGTGGCACTAACGGTGATCTGGTGGCATTAATTGGGTTCAGGTGGCACTAACCGGGGTCTGGTGGCATTAACAGGGGTGTGGTGGCACTAATTGGGATCTGGTGGCATTAATAGGGCTGCGGTGGCACTAATGGGGCCGTGGTGGCATTAACGGGGCTGTGGTGGCACTAATTGGGTTCAGGTGGCACTAACGGTGATCTGGTGGCACTAACTGGGTTCAGGTGGCACTAACCGGGGTCTGGTGGCACTAACAGTGGCATGGTGGCATTAATTGGGATCTGGTGGCATTAATAGGGCTGCGGTGGCACTAATGGGGCCGTGGTGGCATTAATGGGCATGTGGCACTAATTGGGTTCAGGTGGCACTAATGGGGCTGTGGTGGCACTAATTGGGTTCAGGTGGCACTAATTGGGTTCAGGTGGCACTAATTGGGTTCTGGTGGCATTAACGGGGCTGTGGTGGCACTAACGGGTGTCCCGCTGGCAGTAACGGTGTCACCGTGCCATTAACGGGACATTAACGGGTGCCCGGTGCTATTACCGATGTCCCGGTGCCATTAACGGGACATTAACGGGTGCCCGGTGCTATTACCGGATGTCCCGGTGCCATTAACGGGACATTAACGGGTGGCTCAGTGCCATTTCCATGTGTCCCGGTGCCGTTACCGCGTGTCCCGGTGCCGTTACCGGGTGTCGCGATGTGATTGCCGGGCCGTTACCGGGCCATTACCGGGCCATTACCGGGCCGTTACCGGGCCGTTACCGGTGTCGCTCTCGCAGCCCCGGGGGAAGCTGCGCTCGTCGGCGTCGCTGCCGCGCAAATCCACGGTGCCGTGGCAGCGCCTGGCCGAGGACTCGGTGGCCCCGGGCGAGCTCTACGCGCTGCGGCCGCTCGAGAAGGTAACCCCGGGGCGGGGGGGACAGTCCCCGGTGTCCCCCGGTGTCCCCCGGTGTCCCCCGGTGTCCTCCCGGTGTCCCCCGGTGTCCCCGTCCCGGTGTCCTCAGCACCGGCGGCTGCTGGAGGAGGTGACCGGGGGTGGGTGGCACCTCCCGGTACCTCCCGGTAAACTCGTCCCCGATGTCCCCAGCCCCCGGTAACCCGGTCCCCAGTGTCCCCAGCACCCGGTCTCCTCCCGGTGA